GGATCAGTGGGGACAATGCTGAGGGGTCACCATGCAAAGAGCTTGAATTAGGCAGCTCTGGCTACGGTTGTGGCCCCACGAACTGAGAAGCTTGGTGTCATGGCATGCCATTGTTTCTGAGTCTGGCCTGTGCTATAAGCTTCTGCATTTCTTGAGGGCAGGGACTGGGTCTTCCTCCCTATTGTCCTCTCGAGCCCTGAGCTGAGAACTTGTCGTGGGAGATGGACTGATGGAGCTGCGGCCAGGGAATCACACCCACACAGCACGGCTGCTCCCAAAGGCTCTGGGAGGACGTCACAGCACATTGTTCTTGCTCTTCTGTCTGAAAGTTGCTCACAGCATTTTAATAATCACAGTCACTCTGCAAAATTAAGAGTTGAGTGATTTTGTAACCTACATTGAAGTCACTGCGGTTTTGGCGTCTATTTGCCCAGGCCCCTTGCCAACCATGGCTTGGGGCAGTGTCATGACAGTGACAGGACCGTGTCTACCTACCCCACGTGGAGCCTGGACAGAATGAGGCAGATCCTCATCCTGTACAGACACAATCTCCAATGTCCAGATTAAATAAGAAACAGATTCAGGGAGTTAGGTGCTAGTAAGGGCAAGGCCAAGATTTCAACCCAGATTTGCTAAAGTTCCTTCTGTTATACTGAGCTGCCCTACAGACATTTTGGACACTTAGACATTCACTCCAGCTTTATTTCATTTTTATCTGTGCCACTTACATTACAGACGTCATCAGAGCTGTTACTTGCCTGAGAACTTCTGCAGTGGCCCTTGCCCAACAAAAGTAAACTTGGAAGGAGGGGAGGAAGCAGGAAGGCAGGAAGAGGCCAGTGCCTCCTGGGGTTCACTGGCACTTTCCCTGGTCTCCCCACCCTTCCTGCAGTCTGACGCCCTGCCCTGAATCATGAAGTTCCCAGCACACTTGGGGTAGCTGAGCTCTGTGCATACACATGCACACACACTGCATTCCTCTGCAGCCCAGGCTCACACACATCACCTCCACCATGTGTTGAGGTGTTTCACCACTTTCAAGAATCTAACAGTCAAAATCTGCAGCTACTGCAGGACAAGACCCTTCCTGGTTTTGTAGAGATTCATGCATCCTCAGCTAGATCACAAGTGCCTCAAGTTTAGGGAACTTTCCTCTTCGCATTTGTGTACTCAGTAAGCACCTACTATGTACCAGGTGTAGTAGTGGATGTCAGGGCACAGCACACTGAGGCTGATGCAGTCAGTACACAATGCTACAAGGGCAGCTGCCCTGAGACCTCCACGTGCTCCACCAGGCCACCTGCCCCTGGCCAAACCACTTGAGCCCTTCACAGCCCTTCAACTAAAAGGCTAATGTCCAAAAAACCATATGGGCCCTAGAAGCTCAGGCCATATCAACCCACATCTTGGACCTCCTGGACTTCTCTGACTTCTCCAGGTATACTTGGTGCAAGGCAGGTTCTTACCGGGATGGTCACCAGGCATTTTAATGAGGATTCATCTGATGATGATCCTGCAGAATATGAAGTACTGTTGGATGCACACATGCATGAGATCTTTTTTTCTTTTTTTTTTGGCACCGGGAATTAAACTCAGGACTTTGCACTTGCCAGGCAGGCACTTGTACTGCTGCACTATAGCCCCTGCCCCTACGTGCATGAGATCTTGATAACTACTCTCCTACAATTTCCTAACTAGTAACCTCCGCAAAGGAAATTTGTCACCTCTTCCTTTTCTCCTGGGCACCAGGATCCAGTTGGTCTTCTCTCTTGTTTCCGGCTTTTACATCACTAATGGATTTATGGCTCTGGTGGAATGTGCCACTTCTCTGGAGCCTATGGACATCTCATCAGCTCCATTAAAGCACTCTGAAGGAGGCTGAAGCCTGTTGAAAATTCTCATCCCTTGTTGGAATTTTACTGAGTTCCTTACGTCCCAAGGTCATTCCAGCTCTTGGCTCAGGTTTTCAGGTCAGCCCCTCTCTAGGGTCTCTCTCATATCCCTCCTGGGTGGTTTCATCTTGAAATGCTCATACTGACAACAATATAAATGCAAACGCTTGTCAGAAGAAAGAAGGGTGTGCACTCCTAGCCCCAGCCCTGGACGAGACTGCCTAGTAAGAGTGGACTTAAGATGATGATTCATTTAAAATTATGCATAGAAATTTCTCATTTCAATACCTGGCATATACTCAGTAAATTACATCTGCTTAATAAGTTACAATTATCGTTAAAGACCAGGATTTGTTATGGTGATAATGATATGGTGATGGTTGTGATTCTTGGTAGTAACTGCAGAGTCATCTTTGACAATGACAATGATAACTTTCCCTAACCAGGAAGTGATACCTCTCACTGGGGATTCTCGTAGATGTGTGGACCAGCATTTAATGGATTCCTTGGCTTTGACCTTCTATACATTTGCACTTAAGAGAGTCAAGAAGAAGAGGAGAACATGTCCTATGTCCCTACGTTCTGGCTTCATTATGGAGACCAGATATACTGGCACAAATTCTGGAACAAGACTTCTTTTACTTGACGTGGAAGCTAAAGGTTTGGGAAAGGAAAACACAAGGTTTAGGAGTAGAAGAGTCAGGATGAGTGAGGTTCAGAACCTCCTGGCCTCTGCTAGATTTCCTGGGGGAGCTTTGGGCTGAGTTGTCCCCCTGGACATGACAGAGTCCACTACCATGTTCATGGGGCCACTGCTGGAATTCTGGGAAAAATCACAGAGAACACAAACACCAAGAGCATGGAGGGCTAGCCTTCAAAATGGGAGGCTGTGGAAACCACAGCAGAGAGGGCATTAGGCCCCCCCACTCACATCATTTGCCTGAAGGGGCTGGGGGTGAGCAGGAGGTACACACACACACACACACACACACACACACACACACACGGGTCAAAAGAGCCTCCTTTCCGTTCTGACACTACCCACCTGTCATCTGAAAGATAAAGGAACTTAGAAATGTCATTTCAGTGTATCATATTAGGATGATTACCTTGTGCCAGATACTGTGCTGAGCATATTACAAGGATTATCTTACCTCATCTTCCAACATTCCTATAAAATAGACATCATTATTACCCTTATTTTACAGTGTAGAAACTGAGGGTCACAGGTGTTAAGTAAATTAATGTGATAGAATTGGGATTTAGTGCATAGATTGTCTGCTTTAGAACATTCCTCTTGATCACTACCCTACCCTGACCTGCATTTGTGCCTGAGGAAAACCTGAGGCCTCTGTGAGATGTTTAGGTACGGACTGTGGCATGATTGTTTGGTAGACAAGGAAATGGCCCTTGGTTAGTGGGTGGGAGAGTCCTTGTATATTATGCCGGTTTAAGATATCACTCTACTCTTGACTTAGAACATAGAAGTCGGGTGGCACAGCCACACCCTTGTGGGGAAGCTCATCTAAAATTCTTCCTGGTGGAAGTCCCCTACAGAAGGTATGTGACTAGCGCCTGGAAAGCTGAACTACTGTGGGTTCCTATGGCTGCTTAAAAGAGGCCTTGACCTTTTTGGTCTGAACTTTAAGGCATTAGTGTTTACAAGGTGCCTCCAAATCAGGGCCTGTCAGAAAGAGACAGCTCAGGGACTTGAAAGGAGGGTAGTGGTTAGGGAAGGCCTTATATATTTTCCTGCAGCCTGTTAGTCCCTGGAGAACAATGATACCTTCTATATGCACCTACTCAGCAGGTCACACTCTGTTCACCCCTGACATTTTCATCTCTGAATAGGCATTTTGAGGATTTTAAAATGTTGTTGGCCAGGTTTGGTGGCCCATGCCTATAATCCCAGCTACACTAGAGGCTGAATCATAAGGCTAAGCCTGGGCAACTTAGCAAGACCTTGTCTCAATAAATAAATAAATAAATAAAAAGGCATAGAGATGTAGCTCCATGGCTACAAGAATACTTGCCTAATATGCATGAGGCCTTAGGTTCAATCTCAAGTACAGTGGTTGTGGTTGTGGTGGTGGGGTAGTTGTAAAGATAATGTGTAAGATTCTCATATGTTCCTTCTCGGTGGCCTCTATTGTTTTGTTTTGTTTTTTTTTTTTTCCTTTTTGAATCAGCTCTAATTATGCAGTTTAGCCTGGCCTTGAATTCACTGTGTATCTCAGGTTGGCCTCGAAATCATGGTGATCCTTCTGCCTCAGCCTCATAAGTATTGTTAATATTTGATAATTACCATAGCTAATGAGACAATATTGGTATGTCATTAACTAACTGAAGCATACATTTTCATTTGGATTTCTTTAGTTTTTATCTCAAATGCTTTTTCTGTCCTGGGATCCCATCCAGGGTACATTTAGTCACAATATCTCTTTACCTGTGTTCTAGTTTTAGACAGTTGCTAGGACTTTCCTCGTTTTTCATGACCTTGACAGTTTTGAGGTTGGTCAGATATTTTCTAGATTATTCCTCAGTTTGAGTTTGTCTGGTGTTTTCCCCATGATTACACGGGGGTCCTGAGTTCTCAGGCAGAAGATCACAGAGGCAGAGTGCTACCGTCATCACACCATCTAAGGACATGTGCTGTCAGCACGGCTCATCACTGTTGATACTAAGGTTGATCACATGGCTGAGGCAGTGGTGGCCAAGGGTCTCAAGGCAAAGTTACTAAAAGGTTTCATGTGCTCATCACAGAGATAGGAAGGGTGCTGCCCCTGGAAGTCTTCATGGTGGTGATCGTGGTCACCAGTGAAAAAACCCATGAAGAAAGTGAATCACAGAGGGAAGCATTTGAATTTTGGATTCACCAAGCCCAATTCAACTTCTAAGCCTTTGGGCCCTATTGGTTTTGGTAGAGCCTGGCTCAGATTCATTTCAATGTCTCCAATACCCAATATAAGACTGCCTGCTGAGGGCTGGGGATATAGCTCAGTGGTGTAAGCATCTGCCTGGCAAGCACAAGGTGGTGAGTTTGATCCCCAGTATCACACACACACAAAAAAAGACTGTCTGCTGAATGCATAATTGGATTTTTTTCTTTTGCAAATATATTTTTATTGATATAAAATGCACACAACATAAAATTAACTGTTTTATAATACACAATTCAGCAGCATTTATTGCATGTATAGTGTTGTGCAACCATCACCTGTATCTAGTTCCAAAACATTTTCACTGTCACGAAAGAGAATACTGTACCCAATTAACAGTCACACCCTCAGCCCCCGGCAACTACCAGTCTGCTTTCTGTCTCTATGGATTTATTTATTCTAGATATTTCTTTTAAATGAAATCACATTATATGTGATCTTTTGTTTCTGGCTTCTTTCACTTAGCATCATGCTTTTGAGGACCCCCACATCATAGCGTGTATCATAACTTTATTCCTCTTTATGATTAATATTTCATTTTATGCACACCACATATTTTATTTATCCACTCATCCGTTAATGAACACTTGGGTTACATCCACCTTTTGACTATTGTCAGTAATGCTGCAATGAACATTCCTGTAATAAGAACGTTCCTGTAAGACCGTTTGTTTGAGTATCTGATTTCAGCTCTGTAGGTGTCTACTAATGCATGACCAGATTTTAAAAGGTGATATTGCTTCACATATTTGTAGCAAGCTGATCAAACTATGGCTCTGATTATGGACCAAGGCCTGGAAGAGGGAGTTCTGTCTTGGGCCAAGTTCATGATAACATCTTATCAATAAGTTAAAGACATGAGGTACATATATCAAGTTCACCCATGACAAGAAGCCAGGAAAGCAATCTGATCATCACAGTGCAAATCTACAAAGTGGGCAAAGTATCAGTTCTTTCATGTGGTTTCTTTAAAAGATTCTCCAAGCATAGGATATTGGAGAATTGCTTTATTAACAATAATGTAATAAAGAAGGAACTCGGACTTCAAGCTGAGCGCAAGCTCTACCTAAGCCAACGTGGTGGCTGCTGAATACGCACACATAAAAGCAGGTTGCATTAACAGAGGCCTAGCAACCACAGCAGAGAAGTGCGCTGTCCTACCCTGCTGTATATCACCAGACCCACCCAGAGCTCAGGAGCCTCTCTGACTTGCTGGGGTATGCTCTGGGTCAAGAGATGGGGACTGGGCTACAAAGGCCTCAAAACCAGGTCATATGACAAGAGGGCAGAGGAGCTAAGTAGAAGCAGGTGACTGGGATATGGTCTTTGCTGCCCAGGGCATACAGGGCTGGCCCTGGAGAGGAAGGCTTTTATCCCAGCAGAGAGTGAGTGCCCTTCTCTTTTGGGTTGGGTACGTGGAATGAGCAAGGGATAGACTCAGAAGTACATCAGCTGGGCCCAAGTGACTCTGAGAGGCAGGCAACTGCCCTAACACTGAGAAACACTGAGCAGGAGGCAGAGGAGAGAGAGGCAGAAAGAATGGATGTGCTTGGGCTTGGTCTTGTCTCCTCCTCCTGTCACGTCTCTTCAAGCTCTTTTCCTTCTCTTCCTCTCCTCCTTCTTCCTCCTTCTGGCTGTTACCAGCAGCATTCCATCCTGGGAAAAGGTAGCCAAATCATCACTAAAGTTAAGGATGTTTGTTAAATGATGGGCTGAAACTAATGGAATTAGAATTTAATTGGCTGACTTGGAAAAAGAAAAACAGGAAAATTTTTGCATTATTATAGTGAGTGAAAAAAAAAAAAAAGCAGGATACAAAATTACAACTAGGTTAGCATGCAGAGGCCACCCATCAAACTCTGAACATCTGTTACTGTGTCAATCAGGGTGGGCAGGAGTGTTTATTCTCTGTTTCACATTTTTCAGTGTTTTTCAAATGCTCTGCAGTGGAGGGGCATTATTTCAAGAATCAGACAAGAACAAAATGCTGTTTAATCCTTGAGCCATGGCTGCCGCAAGTGGAGCTAAAACTTCTGCCTGGCCACTTCCTGCCCAGTACTGGACCAGCTATTTGATTCCCTCCGCCACAGCTTTGCCCTCAGTAGATCTCCCTACCAGGCCCAGTTCCTAGCACCACTGGGAAAATTTTGGTAAACACCTAATTTCTGGTTTGAAGAGCCATACAAATAAGTGATTCTGGAGGAGGAAGGAGAGCTGGGGCTGGATGTCAGGGAGAAAAGACCCTAAGTGGGGGGAGCCACAAGACTGGGGCAGCCAACGGAGCTGGGCATCCTGCAGGGTGGAGCAGGCCTTTCTGCTTCTGAGCCCAGGGCAGTGCTGTTGTCAGCCCTGGCCTGTAGGGCTCCAGCCTTGGCAGGGACAGCAGTCTGCCTGGAGGGGGTCCCAAGGAGCCAGGGACGGCACATTCAGCTCATGCTATCTCCAGCAGCAGCCACACAAGAACCCAGTTTCACTGAGCACTGCCTCAGTGCTGCACTGGGCCCCCACCCACACAGCCCTTTGATCTGTGCTCTCACTGGTCAGTCAGCAACGTTACCCTGTTTTACCTACAAGAAAATAGAGGTTCATAAAGAATTAAGGACTGGGCCACACTGCTTCTATATAAGAGAAGTGCTGTCAACCACTTTGACATACTGTCTCAAAATAGACAATGACACTTCAGCTTCCTGCTTGGGGAAGGTGGACTGCCTCTGCCCCTCTGGGCCTTGATGTGGCCCCACTGACAGTTTGGTCACTGCCAGTGATGACACTAACTATGGCTTTGGAGAAGGGACTTCCTGTTCACTTCCTCACCTCTCAGGGATGATGGGGTGCCAGAGGGGTGTTTGCAAACCTTGCCCCTGCCCTGGTTCTTGTGGGCTATTCTGAGCCCTGGAAAGAAGGTAGGGGCTCAGTGTCCTTCTGGGTAGAGAGGAGACCCTCAGAGAAGTCCCACAAGGCAGGTCTCTGGCCCCAGCTGAGTTCCTGTTGTGGAGAGCATTGTGAGCAAGGCCTGGATTGGACAAATGGGACTCCTCAAAGGGGTAGATAGACACTGTGATGAGAGGAACTTTCTATTCTTCAGATTCAAAGACTGTACAAGCCCAAGGCTCTCAGATATTGATGGCGGGAGGGGCAGTGGTGGGCACCTTCACCACCCCGGGCTAGATGCTTTCAGACTCACAGCACACCTGCTCAGGGATGTAACTTTGGGTGTCCTGTCGCATGCCAAGAACGGCACAGGTGGGTTGAGGCCATAGCTCAGTGGTAAAGTGCTTGCCCAGCATGCATGAGGCCCTGGGTTCAACCCCCAGCACCACAGGAAAAAAGAAAGGAATAGCACAGGTATGTGAGTGGCTCCTGGGGTTGGAGAGATGAGCCCCTGGTGATCTGGTTGCAGCTTTCTCTGAACAAACTGCAGAAGCATTTTGCATCTTGTGCTCAGGAAGGGGTTGTCTAGGATGAGCACTGGGGACTCACAGTGTAACGGACAATTCCTACGCTTAGACGGAGGTGGACAGACCCTCCTGGGGGAGGGGCAGTACAGGGTCTTGGTACTGAGGCAGAGACACAAGGGAAATGTTAAAATCAAAGGAAGAGGCAATACCAGGCAACACATTCCCAGGGTCTTTACAAGACTGGTTCTCCTCTCTCTGCCAGCTCCAGGGTGGCCTCTGACAACCTGAAAAATAGCCAGGGTTATGCTAGCTCACCTGCTGCCCAGGCCCAACTGCATGACTGGTCACTGGGCACCAGGAGAGGCATGGCTGCCTCACATGGCCTGTTGGGCAACAGGGAAGAGGCTGACAGTTTGTGGGCGCTGAGTAACCACTGAGCTTCCTGATACTTCAAGTTTCTTTCTGGACTATTCTGTATCTTCCTCTTTCAAGGCTGGGCTGGGGACTCCACAGTGTCCACAGCTAGATGACTATTATTCCCTCAGCAGAGGTTTGGTCACCATCTCCCTTGCTCCTGTTCTGTCCTGGCCTTGGAAGACCCAGAGAGACCTCCACAGGGTTCTGCCTGCCCAGGTTTCCTGGCTGAGACAATGGCACCACCCTACTCTGCCTGCACTCCTCCCTCACATCCCATATGCCAGTTTTTGTTCTGTATTACCCTGGGCTTCTTCCGTTTCACCTTTTATCATCAAGACTCCAACTGCCCATCTCCCCCACCCTCAAATTCAGTAAAGGCAGAGACTATGCCTAGCCTATATTCTTGGCACTTGGCACAGTGCCTGGCACTTAGCTGCTCATTAAACAGTATCGAGGAGATTAATAAGCCCATTCAATTCTACGTCCTTAACACTCCTTGGATTCATACCTTCCTCCCGAACGAGCCACAGCCTTTGCTCAGATCTCATATTCCATCTGGACTATTGAGCAGCCCTGACTGGCCAGGTCGCTGCAACACCTCCATTCAATTTATTTTCCACACTAAAGCCAGAGTGGTCATTCTAAGTAGGTCCATTCGCCTTACTCAGAAGCTTTCTCTGGCTCCCCACCCCTCATGACACGGCCACTTTTCTGGGATAAAGAAAAAAGACAGCAGATACGACTTATCAGTTCAATCTGGATACCCCGAGAACATACTCAGGACAACAATGCAAAAGTACAAAAACTTGAAGGGATGTTACATAAACAGGAGATAAGAGCCTAGGGCAAGGTACAAGGGAGAAATTGCACTAACTAAATAGTAGGTGGGGACAAATTGAGAAACACATTCTTGGATAACACCACAGCTGCTCCTCCCCCTGAAACAGAACAACATGTATCAGACTGTGTCATTAACTGGTCATGTGCTATTGTTACTGGATTCTGGGGTGCTGGAGTCTCCACTTAGAGCTAATTTCTAGGTTCTTTTCTGTCACCAACAAAGAATTGAATGAAACAAGCAAAAACAGTGGCAGTCTCATATTTCTTAGTGGTAGGAAAAGTAAAAGGAAATAAAATGGTAAGGAAATAAAATGAGCTCTGCAGAGTCAGTTTAAACTGAGTAAAAAGCGAGGAAAAAATAAAAATAAAAGTATATATAAGTCTACCGGGGGGCTGCGTGAGGAAGGTATGACAGCGAGTTCTTAGTGGGGTGTCTCCTTTTCATTCATTTTTATATTTTCCCATGCTTCCGTTGCAGTTGATCACCCTATCAGAAGCCTGTTCAACTTCTCACGAGGAGTCCACATGCGCAGTTCTGCACAGGTGTTCTGGGACCTTGCCATGCCTCCCTCCCCAGCCAGGGTAAGCCATGCCCTATCTTCCTGTCTCACTATCCCCAGACCATGTTTAATTTATCTTGGTATCTCTGGCACTTAGCACGTGACTTGGCACATAGTAAACACTTAATAAATATTTGTTGAACAAATGAATCAGAGGATTAAGTGAATTAATGAATAAAGAATCAGTGGTTCCGTAGTAGATGAGGCAGGCTAATCCCCACTACCTACCTCTGTCTCAGGGAACCAGGAGCAGCACTGACCAGACAGACAAGCTTTTGGCCAGACCTTAACAACATAGAAATGATCTTCCAACTCAGAGTAGAATAGCGCATGGATTCCAAGGCCAAGAAGGTAGAGATCCAGATCTACCCATTATTAGTTATGTGCACTTGGGCAAGTTACACAACCTCTCTGTGCCTTATCTTTGTCATCTGTAAAATGGGGATAATAATAGTACCTATTTTACAGGGTAATTATGAGAATTAATTTACATGTCTGTAGATTGAGTATATGCACATTTGATATATAGACATACACACCTACATATATAAATTTGCATATCTATTGTGCTGTTTAAGTGCCAGTTTGCCGTCATTGATGTTAATGATGGCAGTTCTCCTAATCCACCCTCTCTCATCAACTTCTCTTTTTCTTTTTTCATCACTGTCTACCTAATGGTGGAATTGAGACATTCACTGGTATTAAGCAATACAGCGTAAACTTGAGAGGATCAGGATGTGGTTGCTTGGCCTGTCTTTATTTCTCCCTGATCAAACACGATGAATAAAAACAATCAAAATAGGACCTGGGAAAAGACCATACCCCACAAGGAAGAAGAAAATCGTTCTGAGAGAGGAAGTGAAATGACTTTCTGCAAGAAACAGAATAAAACCCAAAGTCATCATTGGGCACTCTTAAAACAAACAGTGTGGGAAGCTTTGATGTGGTGGTTATTTGCTGGGTGCTCCCAGGTGGGCAAGAGATATGAATAGGCTGTTCATAGAAACAGGAATGCAAACAGCTTTCAAACAGTGTGAAAAGATGCCTGGTCTCACCCATAAGAGAAATGCAAACCACAATTGCATTGAGGCGTGATTTTCATCTATCAGATTGGCAAAAATCCAAACATTTGATATCAAGGATTTGTGAGACCTTGGAGATTTGGCTTTGAGGAATTCACACTTCACTCACTTTCAGCAGCGTCTTTCAACTAAGATTTCCTCCTTAAGGCCCAGCGGTGCAGTAAGTGGCTTATGCCTGCTAACTTTCTTATCTACAGATCAGCACAAAGTATCTGGTAACCTCAGAAAACTGCCTAAGTATTCTGACCTTTAGTCTCCTCATTTGAAAAGTGGACAATAATAGAGGCTAGGGAAAACAGCCTGGGCATTGTAATAAGTGGCCCATTTTTATTGTCTTTGGTAATTTAATATATATGAACTTAAATATATGTGCTTGATTAATCTGATATATATATATATATTTACAAACTTGAGTTTTACTTTTTAGTCCTTAAAGACAAAAGAAGCAAGAAAAAGAATGTACAGCAAAGAAAATAGAGCAATAAGGAAGCAAATAAAAGGGCCATATTAGTTATAAAATAGAATAAATTAAACCACATGATTGATTAAACTATGCTATTAAAGGGAAAGAGTCTCGGCCGGGGATATAGCTCAGTGGCATAAGCATTTGCTTGGCAAGTGCAAGGTCCTGAGTTCAATTCCTGGTCCCAAAAACAAAACAAACAGACAAAAAAAGGCAAAGAGTCTCATGTTCATTCTCATGTTTAAGAATCAAATTCAACTACACAATATGTGGCTAATAAGAAATACTTGCCATAGTGGATGTCAGCTCCTTATCTCATACATGACTTGTAAATATTTTCTTTCATTCTCTGTGTCGCCTTTTTACTCTGTTGACAGTGTCCTTTGATGCACAAAGCATTTCAATTTTATGTAGTTTACCTTTTCTTGTTTTTTGCACAATTTGTGCTTATGGTGTTATCAATGACTGTTAATCTCAGTATCACAGTGTCTCCCCAATATTTTTTCTTATTTAATATTTTATATTCATAATTATAGTTTGATATAATAAGAAAGACTTCACACAGAATATCTAATGGTATTAAAATATACATGTAAAAAGGAGAGACAAAAGAGTATCAAAAGAAATCATAGGGAACAAATATAGCATAGAAAAGGCCTTCTTAAATATGGCTCAAAATTCAGAAGTCATAAAAGGAAAGATTGATAAATTAAACCACAGAAAATAAAAAATTTACCTTAAAAATGTTTTTAAAACACTAACTGAAAGTCTAAAGATAAATGACAAACTGGGAAAAATAATTTTAAATTCAAGTGATAGAGGGATAGATCACCTCCCTGGAATATAAAAAACTAACAGGCATGAATAAGACCGACACCAAACAAAAAAATGACTGCAAGATATAATAGGAAAGGAAACGCAAGTGCATCTTAAGTGATTTCTTCATTATGAAAATATGCACTCAAAACAAGAGAAATGCAGCCAGGCATGGTGCCACATGCCTTTAATTCCAGCACTGGGGAGGCTGAGGCAGGAGGATTATTCTGAGTTTGAGACCAGCCTAGGCTACAAAGTGAGCTCAAGGCCAGCCTGAACTGCCTAGTGAGACCCTGTCTCAAAAAAAGGCAAAAAAAAAAAAAAAACCCAAAACACAACAAAACAAAAAACCCCAAAACAAGAGAAATGCAAATTAAAACTACATAGAGACATCATTTTTCATCTATCAGATAGGCAAATACCTAAAGTTGGATATCACATTGTCAGTAAGACCCTGAGAAACAGCCACCCTCATATATTGCTGAGGGGAGGGTAAATTGGAAAGACCCAGAGGATGGGAAATTTAGCAGTAGTTACCAAATCTACAAATGCACAATCCTTTTGCTCAAGAGATAGCATTTATGTGAATTTTTCCTACATATATTTTCTCCTAAGCAACAAGTATGCACAAAGTTATTCATTGCAGCATGGTTTGCACTAGCAAAAAGTTAGCAGCAATTCAAATGCCCACCAATAAATGATTGTTTAAATATAATTATAGTACATCTGTATAATGGGGATACTATGCAGCTCCTAAAAAGAATGAAGACACTTCAAATGTACTGATTTGGAAAGACCCCAAAGTACAGTGGTGAGTGATAAAATGCAAGGTCAGTGTGTACAACATGCTACATTTTGTGTTTAAAATAACAGAAGTGGAAACATTGTATTTGCACAAAGAAATTAAAAGATACACAAGAAGCTAATAAAACCATCTTCCAGGGAGAGGAAAGAAAGGATAAGAGGAAAAATGGAGACTGGGCAGATAAATGATAGGAGATAGATGGTAATATTTCTCTGCACTTTACCACATATTTGAATTTTTGAACTATGGAAATACGCTGCTATTTAGAATTTTAAAGAAAAGAGTTAAGTAACATTGGGAGTTACATGAAGAAGCACAGACAAAACTAAGTTATAAAAGCAAATGAAATAATGTAGGGCATGGTAACAGTGACAAATAATTAAAATTGTGGCTAAAAGTGTTAAATGAGGGGAAAGTGGGGGAAGATTTGCTGATAAAATGTATAATTCACAGTGAGGAAGAATTTTCATATATTGAATAATATAATGGCCCAAGATGAATGTACTTATTATGTATCACAAATATATATTACTAAAAAAGGATGAAATGAAGCTGGAGGGAGAGATTAATATAAACAAAATATAGTGGAAGATCATCACTATCAACATGGAATATGCAGGCTAAAAATAAGTATGGATATATATTATCCTACAATATTATATCCATATATAATCTATTTGTTACATATGTAAATAGTAGAACTAGACTAATAAAATAGCAAGAGATAGAGCCTATTTTTAAAAATTTCCAGGGGCTGGGGATTTAGCACAGCGGCACAGCGCCTGCCTGGCAAGCGCGAGGTCGTGAGTTTGATTCCTGGTACTGGAAAAAAAGCAAAAGCCAAAAAAATAAATAAATAAATAAAATAAAAATTTAAAATTTTCCTTTTAAAAATCCATGGAATACACACAAAATAAATTTTAAAAATAAAATATATGCAAACTGTTGATTTTAATCCTTCTTTACAGATTTTAATTTAACCCTTCCCTCCCATAGTAAGACTACTTTTTTTTTTTTCTGGTGTTAACAGGGATTGACTCCAGACTCAATTCAGGGCTTTTGCATCTAGATACATCTCCAACTCCTTTTTAAAATTTTGAGACAGGGTCTCTCTAACTTGCCCAGGATGAGCTTCAATTTAGAATCTATTATGGCTTTTATCTAGATGTCCCCCTAAAGACACATGCAGTAGGTGGAGCTTTTAGAAGCTGGCTGGAGCTAGGGTGTGTGATGCTAAGATTGATTCACTGAGTGATGCTAGGATTAAGGGTGCCCCACCCTTAGGGACAGTCAGAGGGCTAAAATAAAAGGGACAGAAGGAGAGCTGCTGCTGCCTCTACTTGTGGCTTACTACTTCTTCACTACTTTACTACTTTGCTAACTTCTGTCCACCATGAACTGTTTCTCCTCTGTGATGCCCTCTGTTATGCCACCCTGCCTTGGAGCCAGCCAACTATGAACTGAAACCTCTGCAAACTGAGGTAAATAAAACTTTCCCCCTTTAACTTTGGGTATTGAGTATTTTGTCTCAGCAATGAGAAAAGTAATTAAGACAGAATCTTTCTG